TCTCCGTGAGCTCCTCCGGGCTCGATGTTCTCCTCCTGGCCCTCTATGCTTACCCTTTCCCACCTTGTCCTCTCCACCCCTGCATCCCCCGGGTCTGAGTAAACAACGAGGGGATGTGCCTGGTGGGGTGGGCAGCTTGGGGACACCAGACCAATCTGGACCCTCTCCCATGCCCAGAGTCCTTGGGGACCAGCCATGGGGCATGACCAGGCTGAAGGGAGGCATTCACAGGCTTTGGGGGTCTGTTCCCACTCCCCAGATAGAAGAAATTAGGGATTTGCCCAAAGCTCTGCCCACTCCTACAGGAGCGGCCATGGGGTGAGAAGCTGTTCCCCTCTCATCACTCATTGCTTGTGTTTTTTCCTTTCCAGAGGAACGGGATGCAAAAGTGGGTGAGTCTCCATGAGCTTCTTCTGGCTTGGTGTCCTCTCCCAGTCTGTCTGTGTTTGACCCCTTCCCCTCTTGCCCATCCTCTCCACCCCTGCATCCCCTGGGTGCGGGCAAACCCTGAGGAGATGTACCTGGGGTGATGGGAAACTCGGGAACACAAGAGCAGGGATGGACCCTCTCCCCTGCCCAGACTCCCTGGGCACCAGCCGTGGGACATGACCAGGCTGGAGGGAGCCGTCCCTGGGACATGAGGAATGTTTTCCCACTCCCCAAGAAAGGAGGAGTTTGGGGTTTCCCCATCTCTACTTACTCCTTCTTGAGCACTTTTGTGATTAGAAGCTGTCTTGCCTGACCAAATATCGCTTTTGCTTTCCAGAGGAACAAGCTGCACTGTTGGGTGAGTCTCCGTGAGCTCCTCCTGGCTCGGTGTCCTCTCCTTGCCCTCTGTGCTTCCCTGGGAACCAGCCGTGGGACATGACCAGGCTGGAGGGAGCCGTCCCTGGGACCCTTGGAATGTTTTCCAACTCCCCAAGAAAGCAAGAATTGTGGGTTTCCCCAGATCTGTTTACTCCTTGAGCTCTTTTGACAGGCTGGAGGGAGCCATCCCTGGGAACCAGGGAGTGTTTTCCTATGACCCAAAAAGGAGGAATTTGGGGATTCCCCAGCCCTGCTTGCTCCTTCTTGAGCAGGGGTGGGCCCTTTACCATTCGCACAGTCACTGGGGACCAGTGGTGGGATGTGACCTGCTCCTCTCTCTCCTTGTAGCTTGGAGAAAGTTTCTGCTTCCTGAAAATCCAGGTAATTGGGTATTTTATTGTATTTTATTCTGCTTCCTGAAAATCCAGGTAATTGGGGCTTTTATTGTCTTTTGTGTTGGTTGCGTGGGACATGACCAGGCTGGAGGGAGCCATCCCTGGGAACCAGGGAGTGTTTTCCTATGACCCAAAAAGGAGGAATTTGGGGATTCCCCAGCCCTGCTTGCTCCTTCTTGAGCAGGGGTGGGCCCTTTACCATTCGCACAGTCACTGGGGACCAGTGGTGGGATGTGACCTGCTCCTCTCTCTCCTTGTAGCTTGGAGAAAGTTTCTGCTTCCTGAAAATCCAGGTAATTGGGTATTTTATTGTATTTTATGTTGGTTTATGGGTCATTCTTCTCCCTTTCTGTCTGTGCGAGGTGTAACTTGGATGCAGTGAAGGGACTGGCCATGCCTGGGCGTGTTGGTGGCCAATACCTGCCAGACCTTGGCTCTGGGACGGATCTCACCCCATTTCCTTGCCATTCCACCCCATTCTGAACTACATTCTGGAGCCCCAGAGGCACCATCTCCCTCCAAGGCCCCACCAGTGTCTGTTTCCATGGGTCCGAGCTTGGCTGTGGCCTTGCTGGGGCCGGCCCCGTGGTGGGGATGGAGAGGAGGAAGGAGATGCCCACACTCCTGTCCTGCAGGGCAGGTCCTGGCCCCAGGGGGTGAAACCTGCTCAGGACTGAGCGCTGATGCTCCTGCTCCTCCTGTCCCCTGCAGACGTGGTGACCCTGGATCCAAACACGGCTCATTGTGGACTTGTCCTTTCGGAGGATTTGAGAAGTGTGAAACGTGGACCCACGCGGCAGAACCTGCCTGACACCCCCGAGAAATTTAGTTCTTCGCCCTGTGTGCTGGGCCAGGAGAGGTTCCGGGAGGGGAGGCACTGCTGGGAGGTGGAGGTGAAGGGGGAGGTGGGAGGTGATTCATGGTGGGCTGTTGGAGTGGCCAAGGAGTCCTTGGAGAGGAAGAGGAATGTGTTGCTGAGCCCTGCAGTAGGTGTCTGGGGGCTGTGGCACTGGGGAGGGCAGTTCAAGGCTCTCACCTCTCCTCGTACCATCCTTTCCACATCCCTGGTCCCCAGGAGGATCTGGGTCTGTCTGGACTACACTCAGGGGCTGGTGACTTTCCTCAACACAGACACCGGGGGTGAGATCTTCACTTTCCCACCTGCCTCATTCCAACGGGAGACCCTGCGGCCCTGGTTTTGGGTGGGAGATCTTGAAACCCAGCTGTGCCTCAGGGGCAGCACCCCCCAGACCCTCAGCCCCACTTCCATCCCCACCACAGCCTCCGGCAGACCCTGTCCTTCTCCAGCGACTCCCCACTCTCCTCTCCTGGACCCTGCAGGAGATGTCCCTCTCTGACCTGTCCCAGCCCAGGGACCAGAGGGGGACTGAGGGACAGGGGCTGCTGTGGGGTCCCCCCGCAGGGCTGGGAGGCTCCAGGCAGTGGGGGGTGTCCTCGTTTCAGCTTTGATGGAGTTAATTTTCTTTCTAGCACCTGCTCCGTTTAGGATTTAGTGTGAGAATGCCATTGATCACACAGGATTATATACATGGCTGAGAAATGTTCACATCAGTCAGGGGCCTTTCCAGCTTTCTCTCGAAGCTGAGAGGGAGCACAGTCAGGACGGGGTGGCTAAAGGGATATTCTACCCCACAGATGTTGTGTTGGGGATAGACACAGGGGCTGCCGGGGGGCTGGGACCCTCCATCACTGCTGGGGATGGGCTGGGCAAATAGTCCTCAGGTTCTGAGGGCAACTGGTGCTGTGTCCTTGTATTTTGTGTATTTTTTTACAATTAATAATGTTATTTTTTTCTCTAGTAACTGTTGTCTGTAACTGTTGTCTTTATTCCAATCCACGAGGTGTTTTCCCCTCCTTTTCTCCCTCTTCTCTCCCCCCTGGTGGGGGATTAGGTGGGGGGGTAGTGAGTGAGTCGCTGGCTGCGGGTTAACCATGCTCGGGGGCAAGGGAACTCTTGGATCTTCATGGACCCTCCGGGATCCCCTTGGAACCTCTTGGAAGTCCCATGGAACCCCTTAGAGCTTCTTGAGTTCCTCCTGGCACCTCTTGGATCCCTTCTGACCCTCTTCCATCCCCTTGGATCCCTTGGATTCCTTGAACCTCTTGCATCTCCTTGGATCCCCTTGAAACTCCTGGGAACCCCTTGGCACCTCTTGGATCCCCTCAGATTCCACTCAGAACCCACTCCAATTCCCTCCAATCCTTTGGTATTCCTTGGATCCTTTTGGATCCCCTCGGTACCACTCAGAACCCCGCTTGGAATACCTTGAACCCCTTGTTACCCCTTGGATCCCCTTGAAACCCTTTTCAACCCCCAGGAACCCCTCTTGGACCCCCTGGAACCTCTTGCAACCCCGGAATCCTTTGCATCCCCTGGGCTCTGCCTGACACCGTACTCACCGTGAGCATCCTCCTGTGCCATGTGACCCTTTTCTGAAGAAAACTGTTTTTCTCTCCCTAATTCCCTTCCCGGTTGGACACTGGGTGAAGGCAGCTGCACTTTTTTTACTTATTTAGGGGATTTCTGGCTCCTTGCATGGGAGCATCTTTGTCCCAGGGTGGCTTTAAGTGTAGCAGAAGAGGAAACTTATGACTGTGGAAGGGAATTTCCAGCCTGGGGCTATTTTAGATGGATTTATTACAGTGGTGATTCACTGCTGCTGCTGTGGAGCTGGGAGCTGAACTGTGGCTGGGCACCACTGGGCAGGATCTGCTGGGAATGGGATGTTGGGGATACTCGGGGCTGGGAACGGGACCTCCCTGTTCCTCTGACCTGGTCGGGGCTGTTTGGGTGCCCCCTAATCCTCTTTAGCTCCCCCTGCACCTCCTGGACCCCCCTTGGTTGGATACGGCTCCTGGACCCCTTTTGGGTTACAGATGGGCTCATCCCTTGTCCACATGCCCAGGTGTGGGTACAGTCCCCAGGAGCCCCAGACATGGCTATGCACCCCCCCACACCTCCCCCGAAACTCCATACCCACCCCTGCTATGGGTACAGCCCATTGCCTCCCCCGCAGCCCTTCTTTTGTGTATGGATGTGGATGGGACGTTGGGGACAGCAGGGAACAGGTCCTCCCCATGCATGTGAGGTCCCCAGGGTGACAGGGCAGAGGGACAGGGCACAGCTGGGGTGTCCCAACCCTCGAAGCCCAATCCCAGCCTCATCCCCAACTCCCCACAAGCTCCCGGCTGTTGTGGGGCTGCAGGGACACTGCTGGGCTCCTCCCCCATGTCCAAAAAGCACAACCAAGCTCCAATCACAATGTCCTCACCACCAAATGCAGGTCTTTTTTTCTTCTTCATTTTCTATTTTTTATTACCAGAAACCCAGATGAAGGGATTCAGGGTAAATTTAAGTTGAGGCCAAAATAGCCCATTGCTGCTGACAGATGCTCTCCCCCCACCTCTCACTCCCAGGAGAGGAGGAGGAGAGAGAAAGAGATTCAGGAGTTGAGCAGGAACTAAACTACTTCAAGGAGATATTAATTATAAAATAAAAGGGAAAGCAATGAAATAGATACAATATCTACAAACCTGCATCAAGATCCCAGGATTGAGGCACGGCAACAAACTCTACAACTCCCGGAGAGTTATAAAGCAGGGATGTTTATTGCAGCGCCGGGTGCCAGGGGGATTGCTCCTCCCAACTTGCACACCGGGTCCTAAAACAAGCGTCCATTTATGGTAAGAAAGTATACATATTCATTAATAGGGGATGGGTTATTATAATCAGTTCCAGAATAGGCATAACTCTTGTAGTTGATGGCTTGTACGTCTGCACTGTGCGAGATGCTGGCACCTATGCAGAAGTTATGGTGGAGGTGGAGGTGGCAGGTTTGTGGGTACTGTGGTATGTCCTGGGGACATTCCAGATGTCCCTGGGTTGGTGTGTCCCTCCCAGAGCTCTGTCCCATCCTCACGTCCTTTCATTTGGTGCCGAAGGCCAGGAGGTGTAGGAAGAGGTTGGATGTGAGTGGGATCTTCCCATCCATCCCTGCCCTGAATGGAGCATCCATGTGGTGCTGGAGGTGTCTTTCGGGCAGAGGAGCACAGACACGGTGGCTTTGGGTCTCTGTGGTGTCCTCATGATTCTGTGTTTGTGCAGAGACGCTGCCTTGAGGCACTGAAGCTTGGCCACTTGGTGCTCCTCTGCTGGGCTGTTTTCTGGAAGTTCTGGGGTCATTTGGCATCAGGGCTCTCTGGTTCCTGCAGACCCTGGGGTGGGTTTGGTGGTGTGAGGAGCACGTACCCAGCCCCACAGCTCCCTGGGCACCCTGTGTTGTGTCTGGCCTGGGGTTCAGTCTTGGGCTTTAAGCTGAGACCATCCCTAACTCATGACTCTCCTGGGCTCTTCCCCCAGCCTTGGGCTCTGTCCCTCTCCTCTCTCTGGAGGCTTACGAGGATGGAGGCATCCGGGTGGTGTGTCGATCGGCCGGCTGGTACCCACCACCGCAGCTGCTGTGGAAGGATGGCAGTGGGCAGCATCCCCCCTCGGCCTCCCTGAAACGTTCCCGTGATGAGAGGGGCCTCTATGAGATCCAAGATGTCATCGTTGTGAGCGGGAAGGGAGACAGGAACGTGTCGTGCGTGGTGAGGAACAGCCGCCTGGAGCAGGAATCGTCCCTGCACGTCTCAGGTACAGGATGGCAGCAGGGCTGGGGTTGGCCGCGCTGCTTGAGGGGGTTTGATCTCGGGGGGCTGGAGAAACATGCAGGGGGAGAGGGAAGGGGACGGGGGCGCACCCACAGGTGAGTTTTATTGCAGGAGATAACGTGACCCTGGTGTGCTTCAGGGGAGCTTTGGTGTGTCCATGGGATGGGGAGGAGGATGTCCTGTTGAGCTCACGGCTCCCAGCATGAGCCTTTAGCAGCTGGCAGTTTGGGGTTGTTTCGGTTTCTTTCTTTTCCTGACACAGGGGAATGTAAAATGATCCCTTTTCCCGATGTGGTTTTTTTTCTCAGCTCCCTTTTTCCACAATGCCCGTCCCTGGATGGTAGCTCTGGTTCTGCTCCTCCTGCTTTTAGTGATGTGTTTTGGTGTCATTGCTTATCTCTTCCAAAGGAAAGGTGAGTTTGTAGTTGGGAGGATGGAGTGGAGGGGCTCAGGGCTTGAGTGAGGCCCATGGACATACGCAGAATGGGATCAGAGTTGTTTCAGAACAGGTGTTGCCTTCATGAAAGAAGCTCTTTGGGCAAAGGGAGGATGGGGAGAAGGACACGGGGTGTGGGTGGGAGAATAGGGAGCACGGCCAGAGCATCTGGCTGGTGGGAAGGTCCAAGAGACCCTGGGGAGATGGTGCCAGGGATGAAGCAGCTGCTCTCCTGACCTCTTCTTTCTCTGCCTTTGCTTTCCACTGGTGCAGTCCCGAGCGCTGGGTGAGTCCTTCTGCCCCCTGCCACCAGCAAAGCCTCCTGAGAAAGGAGATCCCTGGGAGGAGTGTGGCTTTGAATGGCTCTTGCTGGTTCTCTGGTCATTGATGTGTGTTGCTGGAGCCCAGAAGGGGACTGGAGAGCCCTGGGGTTTGGAACTGGGCACGGGAGGTGTCCTGGCTCATGGGAAGAAATGGGGAGCAGTATCAAATGAGCTTAAATCAGCTGAGCCTTAGGTCTCTGCTTAAGTCAGGCATAACTGCGGGGTGTCTGGGTGGGCTGGGGTGGGGATAGGAGGGCAGGGAGCCCCCTTGTAAGCCAAGGCGGCTTTTCCCATTCCCCAAACATCAGAAATGTGGGCTCAGCCCATGCTCTGCCTGCTCGAGCCATGGGGTGCGAAGCTGTCCCCTTTCATCACTCATTGCTTCTGTTTTTCCTTTCCAGGGAAACGAGATGCAGCCCTGGGTGAGTCTCCATGAGCTCCACCTGGCTCCGTGTCCTCTCCCGGGTGCTCTGTGCTCGGCCCCTTCCCCATCCCCTCCATCTCTGAATCCCTTGGGTGCGGGCCTGCTCTGGGGGAGGTGCCTGGGGGGTTGGGCAACTCGGGGACACCAGACAAGGGATGGACCCTCTCCCCTGCCCAGAGTCCCTGGGGACTCTCTGCTGGACATGAGCAGGCTGGAGAGAGCCATCCCTGGGGGGGACCCCGGAGTGTTTTCCCACTCCCCGAAAAGGAGGAATTTTGGGGATTCCCCAGCCCTGCTTGCTCCTTCTTGAGCACTTTTGGGATGAGAAGCTGTCCTCTCTGACCACATATTGCTTTTGCTTTCCAGAGGAACAAGCTGCACTGTTGGGTGAGTCTCCGTGAGCTCCTCCTGGCTCAATGTCCTCTCCTGGGCCCCCTGTGCTCTGCCCTTCCCTCCCTTGCCAGAGCAGGGATGGGCCCTTTTCCATTCCCACAGCCACTGGGGACCAGTGGTGGGATGTGACCTGCTCCTCTCTCTCCTTGTAGCTTGGAGAAAGTTTCTGCTTCCTGAAAATCCAGGTAATTGGGTGTTTCATTGTATTTTATGTTGGTTGATGGGTCATTCTTCTCCCTTTTCCTCTGTGCGAGGTGTAACTTGGATGCAGTGAAGGGACTGGCCATGCCTGCGCATGTTGGTGGCCAATACCTCCCAGACGTTTGCCCTGGGATGGATCTCACCTTGTTTTCTTGCCATTCCACCCCATTCTGAACTACATTCAGGACCCCCAGAGGCACCATCTCCCTCCAAGACCCCACCAGTGTCTGTTTCCATGGGTCCGAGCTTGGCTGTGTCCGTGATGGGGCTGGCCCCGTGGTGGGGATGGAGAGGAGGAAGGAGATGCCCACTCTCCTGCCCTGTGGGGCACATCCTGTCACGGGGGGGGTGAAAGCTGCCCAGGACTGAGCGCTGATGCTCCTGCTCCTCCTGTCCCCTGCAGACGTGGTGACCCTGGATCCAAACACGGCTCATTCTGAACTTGTCCTGTTGGAGGATTTGAGACGTGTGAGATGTGGACCCACGCGGCAGAACCTGCCCTACACCCCTCAGAGATTTAGTTATTGGCGCTGTGTGCTGGGCCAGGAGAGGTTCCGGGAGGGGAGGCACTGCTGGGAGGTGGAGGTGAAGGGGGAGGTGGGAGGTGATTCATGGTGGGGTGTTGGAGTGGCCAAGGAGTCCATGGAGAGGAAGGGGATAATGGATCTGAAGCCTGAAGAAGGGATCTGGGCAGTTGGCAGGTATAAAGGGCAGTTCATGGCTCTCACCTCTCCTCGCACCGTCCTTTCCAACTCCCCGCTCCCCAGGAGGATCTGGGTCTGTCTGGACTGCACACGGGGGCTGGTGACTTTCCTCAACGCTGACACCGGGGGTGAGATCTTCACTTTCCCACCAGGCTCATTCCACAGGGAGACCCTGCGGCCCTGGTTTTGGGTGGAAACATGGGAAACCCAGCTGTGCCTCAGGGGCAGCACCCCCTAGACCCTCAGCCCCACTTCCATCCCCACCACAGCCTCCAGCAGACCCTGTCCTTCTCCAGAGACTCCCCACTCTCCTCTCCTGGACCCTGCAGGAGATGTCCCTCCCTGCCCTGTTCCAGCCAGAGGAGCAGAGGGGGACTGAGGGACAGGGGCTGCTGTTGGGTCCCCCGGTGCTGGGAGGCTCTGAGCAGGGCTGTGTGTCTGCATTTCAGCTTTGATGGAGTTAATTTTCTTTCTGGTATGGGCTGCATTTTGGATTTAGTCTGAGAATGACATTGATCACACACAATTATATAAGTGGGTGAGAAATGTTCAGATCAGTTCAAGGGCTTTTCCAGCTTCCCCTCTCACCTGAGAGGGAGCACGGCCAGGATGAGGCAGCCAAAGGGATACTCCACCCCAGAGATGTCCTGCTCAGGATAGAAATGGTGGCTTCCGGGGGGCTGGAACCTTCCATCTTTGCTGGGGCTGGGCTGAACAATCAGTCCTCAGGTGCTGATGACAAATTGTGTTGTATCCCTTTATTTTGTATATTTAGTTTCTATGTAATCAGTTCAAGGGCTTTTCCAGCTTCCCCTCTCACCTGAGAGGGAGCACGGCCAGGATGAGGCAGCCAAAGGGATACTCCACCCCAGAGATGTCCTGCTCAGGATAGAAATGGTGGCTTCCGGGGGGCTGGAACCTTCCATCTTTGCTGGGGCTGGGCTGAACAATCAGTCCTCAGGTGCTGATGACAAATTGTGTTGTATCCCTTTATTTTGTATATTTAGTTTCTATGTATTTTTTACAATTAATAATGTTATTTTCCTCTGAGGTGTCTTTTGTCTTAAACCATCTTTGTTCCAACCCACAAGGTGTTTTCTCCTCCTTGTTTACCTCTTCTCTTGACCCTAGTGTGGTACATGGGGGAGTGAGTGGGCTGCTGGCTGGGGTTAAACCACGCTGGGAGACCGGGAACCTGCTGGGCCCTCTTGGAGCCCTCCCCTTTGGATGCCCTTGGAGTCCCTTGGAGCCCAATCAGATCCCATTGGGAACCCCCTTGATGCCCTTGAAGACCCTTAGAGCCCCATTGGATGCCCTTGGGCCCCCTTGGAACCCCTTGTAAGCTGTAGGAATCCCTTGTAAGCTGTAGGAATCCCTTGTAAGCTGTAGGAACCTCTTGGGCCCCTGTGGATCCCTTGTACCCTTTGAACCTCTTGGATCTTCTTGGAACCCCATTGGAATCCCCATTGAACCCATTCCACCACCTTGGACTCTTTGTAACCCCTTAGACGCCCTCTTGGTTCCCCCTGGTTGCATCCTCCAATCCCCTTAGATCTCCTGGAACGTTCTTGATCCCCTCGGGTCTCCCTGGTACCACTCAGAATCCCCCTTGGAACTCCTTGGACCCTTTGAATCCCCTCAGATCCCCTTGCAACACCTTCAACCCTCCAGGAACCCCCTCTTGGACATCCCTTGGAACCCCTTGCATTCCCAGGGCTCTGCCCAACAGGGTACTCACCATGAGCATCCTCACGCGTCCCGTGACCCTTTCCTGAAGAAAACTGCTTTTTCTCTACCCACTTCCCTTCCCACTCGGGCACTGGCTGAAGGCGCCTGTGCCTTTTTGTTTATTTGGGGGATTTTTGGCTCTGTGTGTGTCAGCATCTTTGTCCCGGAGCAGCTTTAGGTGCAGGAGAAGAGGAAACTTCTGAGAGTGGAAGGAATTGCCAGCCTGGGGCTATTTTACAGTGATATTTTGTGTTATTGACAGACACTGCTGTGGGGACCGGGGGTAGCCCTGGGCCAGGGCCAGGGGGTGGCTGAGCCCAGAGGGACACGGGAAGGGACAGGGGGATGCTCAGGAAGGGGCTGGGACTGTGGAAATGGAGAACAAAGCCCAGATGGGACATCCCCGACTCCTGGGGCTGGTTCCCATGACTGGAGCAGGTTCTGGTGATCGGATCCACGTCTGGTGATGCTGCTGTGCAGGTAATGGGGGGAGGATGCCTGGAGCTGGCCCTGGGACCCCCCCACGCAGCACCGACCCTGGAGGTTACAGCCCCTCTTTACATCCCCTTCTCCTTAGTCCCCCACCCCTAGGGCTGGATCTAGGTCCCTGACACCCCTTGGGGATCATCCTGGTCCCCCTCCCCACATCTGGGGATGACCCCAGGAACCCCCCTGGAGCTGGGTATCACACCCCCCTGGCACCTACCCCTATGGGAGCTATGGACACAGCCCCACCCTGAACCCTCCTGCACCCCTTATTTTGCGCATGGGCTCCCTATGCAGAAGGTGGGACATTGGGGACAGCAGGGGACATGTCTGCCCCAGACACCTGAGGTCCCCATGGTGACAGGGCACAGCTGGGGTGTCCTGACATTCAAAGCCCCTGCCCCCAACCCCATCTTGTCCCCCCTCCCCACAATCTCCTGGCTGTTGTGGGGCTGCAGGGACACTGCTGGGCTCCTCCACCGTGTCCAAAAATCACAACCAAGCTCCAATCACAATGTCCTCACCCCCAAATGCAGGTCTTTTTCCTTCCTCAGTGCTAGTTTTTCCTACCAGAAACCCAGAAGAAGGGATTTAGGGTACATTTCAGGTTGAGGCCAAAATGGCCCATGCTGCTGACAGATGCTCTCCCCCCACCTCTCACTCCCAGGAGAGGAGGAGGAGAGAGAAAAAGAGATTCACGAGTTGAGCAGGAACTAAACTACTTCAAGGAGATATTAATAATAAAATAAAAGGGAAAGCAATGAAATAGATACAATATCTACAAACCTGCATCAAGATCCCAGGATTGAGGCACGGCAACAAACTCTACAACTCCCGGAGAGTTATAAAGCAGGGATGTTTATTGCAGCGCCGGGTGCCAGGGGGATTGCTCCTCCCAACTTGCACACCGGGTCCTAAAACAAGTGTCCATTTATGGTAAGAAAGTATACATATTCATTAATAGGGGCTGGGTTATTATAATCAGTTCCAGGAATAGGCATAACTCTTGTAATTATTTATGAGAACTCATTATCATTTCTCCTTTGTGTGTTTACAAGACAAGGCCCGTTCCTCACTCTGGAGTGCTGGGCTCCCGGCTCTCTTATTTGTCAAGCTCCACTAAATCTACACTAACAACGTTTAACCATTCATTCTCCAAATCAGGATGAAGTCACCAGCAGGCACTGGGGAGCCCCAGACTGGGCTCAGCCATGGGTGGGATCTGGATTCCAGCTCTGGGGTCAGGAAGGCACAGATTGGGATCGAAGGCAGACGACCAGTTATGGTCCTCCTCAGATTGTTGGCCATTGGAGAAAGAGCTGATCCTTTGATCCTCGGTTTTTGTACTGGGCGTGGGGCAGATGAGATGGAACCCCCCTTGGTCATGTTGGTGACCTCCCTCGTGTTCCCCCCATTCCTCAGCCGAGGCCAAACTGAGAACTGGAATTATTACATAAAAAGTTGCTTCTGTTTTACCTCAAACTGGGACAGGAGCTCACCCTGGTCCCCCTCCCCAAGGCTGGGTATGACACCAGAGACCCCTCGGAGCTGGGTATGACACCCCACTGGTACCTACTCCTTTGGGAGCTATGGGTAGAGCTCCCCATGAACCTCCCCACACCCCTTACTTAGAGCATGGGCTCCTCATACATAAGGTGGGACACTGGGGACGGCAGGGCACGCCTCCTCAGGTGTCTATTAACCCAGGGCTGTAAGGTCCCCAAGGTGACAGGGCACAGCTGGGGTGTCCTGACACTCAAAGCCTCCCCATACCCATCTTGTCCCCTCATCCCTGACTCCCCACAACCTCCCGGCTGCTGTGGGGCTGCAGAGACACTGCTGGGCTCCTCCGCCATGTCCAAAAATCACAACCAAACTCTAAATTAACCTTAACCTTCTCGCAGCCAAATGGACCTAATTTTCCTTCTTCCCCTTTTTTGCCTTTTTTTCTGCTCCTTAATGTGTCCAAGCGCTGGGGGTGGAGTTTGAAGGCAGCCCCAAAACCCCCAACGGGTGCTTCTGGAAAGCGAGGGTAAGTGCGAGACCTTGGGTGTATTCTGTCGGCTGCTTCCTCCTGCAGCTCGTACGGGTCCGGTGAGTGAATTTCCTTTCTGTGAGGAGTTTAGAATATTTAATTTCAGTTAAAATCTTGTAAGGCATTTTGAGTAAATCCTGTGGAGGGTTGTGGGGCAGAGAAGGGGCTGCACTGAGAGCCTTACGTGGATTCTATTCGTCAACCAAGGCTTCCTTCCGACGTCAGGATACAGGTGGTTTGGTGGGATTTCTGGAGCCCCGTTGGGGGCAGGTGCAGCCCTTCTTCCCCATCCCCTCTGTGGTGGCTTTAACCCCCCCTTGCCCTCCCTCTGCCTCCCTTCCCACCCTCTTCTCCAGCTCCGGACGCAGATGGGATTCCCCAGGAGCCCATGGGGCCTCCTCAGTCCTTTCCTGACTCTCCACCTCCTCCGGCTGGGATCAGGTAGGGATCCTGCAGGGCTGGGGGGGCTGAGCGTGCTCTGGGTGGCAGATGTGGGGCAGGGGAGGTGCTGTGGGGCAGGAGGAGCTGAGCCCAGAGCTCGGCCATGCATGGCTTTCACTATCCCTTGGGCTCTTGATGCCACATGTCCATTGCCCTGGGACATCTTCAGTCCCACCCTGCGGTGCTCCCTCAAAGCATTTGTGCCTTCTACAGGGGCCAGCTGGGCTGGGGGTAATTTTCAGGGTGTGGGTCATTTCTGGAGTGGGGATCATGATTTTCTGGTGTAGGTCCTCACCACAGGGAAACCTCCTTCTCCTTTGAATCCTCTTACTCCCTCTCCAGTTTCTCCAGGGCCTTTGGGCCATGGGGAGGGCAAAGCAACACCCGCAGGATGGAGCAGGCACCGCTCACTCCAAGCTGGCCCCTTGCCATGCGATGCCCGTAAATTAACATGAGTGCAACCTCCCTCCCTCTGTGTCCTTCTCTGTCACCCAGCGGAACTCAGAGTGGTGGGACCAAGGCAACCTCTCCTTGCCACCGTGGGGCAGGACATCGTGCTGCCATGTCACTTGTCTCCACGCATGGATGCTCGGAGCTTGGAGATCAGGTGGATCCGGCAGCAGATCTCTGAAACGGTGCACCTCTACCGAAACGGAGACGACCTGTATGGCGAGCAGATGGAGGAATATGATGGAAGGACAGAGTTGGCCAGAGATGGTCTCTCCAATGGGAGCCTGGACTTGCGAATCTCTGGGTTGAGACCCTCTGATGATGGCCCGTACGTCTGCACTGTGCGAGATGCTGCCACTTATGCAGAAACTACAGTGGAGCTGGAGGTGGCAGGTTTGTGGCTGCTGTGGTGTTTCGTGGGGATGTTCCAGGTGTCCCTGGGTTGGTGTGTCTCTTCAGGAGCTCTGTCCCATCCTCACATACATCCTTTCAATGCCGAAGGCCAGGAGCTGTTGAAAGCTGTTTGGGTGTGAGGGGTCTCTTCCCATCTGTCCCTGCCCAGGATGGAACATGCACATGATCCTGGAGGTGTTTTTGGGGCAAAGTAGAACAGATGCAGTGGCTTTAGCTCTCTGTGGTGTCCTCGTGGTGCAGTGTTGGTGCAGAGACCCTGCCTTGAGAAGCACTCGCTCCTCTGCTGGGCTGCTTTATGGGAGATCTGGGGTCATTTGGCATCAGGGCTCTCTGGTTCCTGCAGATGTTGGGGTGGGTTTGGTGGTGTGAGGAGCACGTACCCAGCCCACAGCCCCCTGAGCACCCTGTGATGTGTCTGGCATGGGGTTGGGTCTTGGCCATTGAGCTGGGTCCATCCCTAACTCAGGACTCTCCTGGGCTCTTCCCCCAGCCATGGGCTCTGTCCCTCTCCTCTCTCTGGAGGCTTACGAGGATGGAGGCATCCGGGTGGTGTGTTGATCGGCCGGCTGGTACCCACCACCACAGGTGCTGTGGAAGGATGGCAGTGGGCAGCATCCCCCCTCGGTCTCTCAGAGACGTTCCCCTGATGAGAGGGGCCTCTTTGAGATCCAAGATGTCACCGTTGTGAGTGGGAAGGGAGAGGGGAACGTGTCGTGCGTGGTGAGGAACAGCCGCCTGGAGCAGGAGCAGGCGTCGTCCCTGCACATCTCAGGTACAGGATGGCAGCAGGGCTGGGGTTGGCCACGCTGCTTGAGGGGGTTTTGATGTCGTGTGGCAGGATAAATATGCCAGGAGAGCAGGAAGGAAACGGGGGTGTAAAATGAGGTATTTTCCTAATGTTTTTTTGTTTCTCAGCTCCCTTTTTCCACAATGCCCATCCCTGGATGGCAGCTCTGGGTGTCTTCCTCCTGCTTTCAGTGGTGTCCGCTGCCCTCAGTGCTTACCTCTTCCGAAGGAAAGGTGAGTTTGCATCACCACGATGTTTTGCCTTCATTATGGAAGCTCTTTGGGCAAAGGAAGGATGGGGAGAAGGAGACGGGGTGTGGGTGGGAGGAGAGGGAGCATGGGCAGAGCATCTGGCTGGTGGGAAGGTCCAAGAGACCCTGGGGAGATGGTGCCAGGGATGAAGCAGCTGCTCTCCTGACCTCCTCTTCCTCTGCCTTTGCTTTCCAGTGGTGCAGTCCCGAGCGCTGGGTGAGTCCTTCTGGCTCCTGCCACCAGCAAAGCCTCCCTCTGGGAGGGATGTGGATTTGCCTGGTTCTTGCTGTTTCTCTGGTCATTGATGTGTGTTGCTGGAGCCCAGAAGGGCACTGGAGAGCCCTGGGGTTGGGAACTGAGCCCGGGAGGTGTCCTGGCTCATGGGAAGAAGCAGGGACCAGTACTGACTGAGCTTTAATCTGGCTGAACCTTAAATCTCTGCTGAAGTCAGGTGTACCTGCAGAGTGCCTGGATGGTCTGGGGTGGGGATAGGAGGGCAGGAACCCCTGCCGTGAGCCAAGGGGCCTTTGCCCATTCCCCAAAGAGAAGGAGTTTGGGCTCAGCCCGTGCTCTGCCTGCTCACACCATGGGCTGACAAGCTTTCCCCTCTCATCACTCATTGATTTTGTTGCTTGCTTTCCAGGGAAACGAGATGCAGAACTGGGTGAGTCTCCTTGAGCTCCCTCTGGCTCCGTGTCCTCTCCCGGGTGCTCTGAGCTCGGCCCCTTCCCCCCTTGCCCGTCCTCTCCATCCCTGCATCCCCTGGGTCCATGGAAAACCCGGGGGGAGGTGCCTTGGGGGGTGGGCGGCTTGGGGCCACCAGAGTAGAGATGGACACTCTCCCCTCTCCAGAGTCTCTGGGGAGAGTTTGTGGGAATTGATCAGGCTGGAGGAAGCCATCCTAGGGACCCAGGGAGTGTTTTCCGGAGAACAAAGCCCAGATGGGACATCCCCGACTCCTGGGGCTGGTTCCCATGACCAGAGCAGGTTCTGGTGATCGGATCCACTTCTGGTGATGCTGCTGTGCAGGTAATGGGGGGAGGATGCCTGGAGCTGGCTCTGAGACCCCCCCACGCAGCACCGACCCTGGAGGTTACAGGCCCTCTTTAAATCCCCTTCTCCTTAGTCCCCCACCCCTAGGGCTGGATCTAGGTCCCTGACACCCCTCGGGGATCATCCTGGTCCCCCTCCCCACATCTGGGGATGACCCCAGGAACCCCCCTGGAGCTGGGTATCACACCCCCCTGGCACCTACCCCTATGGGAGCTATGGACACAGCCCCACCCTGAACCCTCCTGCACCCCTTATTTTGCACATGGGCTCCCTATGCAGAAGGTGGGACATTGGGGACAGCAGGGGACATGTCTGCCCCAGACACCTGAGGTCCCCATGGTGACAGGGCACAGCTGGGGTGTCCTGACATTCAAAGCCCCTGCCCCCAACCCCATCTTGTCCCCTTGTTCCTGGCTCCCCACAATCTCCAGCTGTTGTGGGGCTGCAGGGACACTGCTGGGCTCCTCCCCCATGTCCAAAAAGCACAACCAAGCTCTAATCACAACGTTCTCACCCCCAAATGCAGGTCTTTTTCCTTCCTCAGTTCTATTTTTTCCTACCAGAAACCCAGAAGAAAGGATTTAGGGTACATTTCAGGTTGAGGCCTAAGTAACCCATGATAGTGACAGGTGCTCTCCCCCCACCTCTCATTCCCAGGAGAGGAGGAGGAGAGAGAAAGAGATTCACGAGTTGAGCAGGAACTAACCTACTTCAATGAAATATGAAGAATGACACAAAATGGAAACTAATGAAATAGTTACAATTTCTACAAAACTGTATCAAGCTCCTAGGATGACGTCACCAGCAGGCACTGGGGAAGTCCCAGACTGGACTCAACGATGGGTGGGATCTGGATTCCAACTCTGGGTCAGGAAGGCACAGATCAGGATCAAAGGCAGATGAACAGACAGGGTCCTCCTCGGACGTTGGCCACTGGAGACAGAGCTGACCCTTTGATCCCTCGGCTTTAATACTGAGTGTGGGGCAGATGGGATGGAAAAACCCCTTGGCCAGTTTGGCGTCCCCCCTCCTGTCCCCCCCACTTCCCCAGATGAGGCTGAGCTGAGAAGCAGAATTACTAAATGGGAAGTTGCTTCAGTTTTACCTGAAACTGGGACAGGGGCTCACCCTGGTCCCCCTCCCCACATCTGGGTATGACCCCAGGGACCCCCCTGGAGCTGGGTATGACACCCCACTGGTAACCAGACCTTTGAGAGCTATGGGTAGAGCTCCCCATGAACCTCCCCACACCCCTTACTTTGGGCATGGGCTCCTCATGCATAAGGTGGGACACTGGGGACAGCAGGGGACACGTTCTCCCCAGGGATGTGAGGTCCCCAAGGTGACAGGGTATAGCTGGGGTGTCCTGACACTCAAAGCCCTCCCAACCCCATCTTGTCCTCTTGTTCCTGGCTCCCCACAAGCTCCTAACTGTTGTGGGGCTGCAGGGACACTGCTGGGCTCCTCTGCTATGTCCAAGAATCACAAGCAAGCTCTCAGCTCCACAAGATGCCTCCCAATAAATCCTTATTATTCTTCATTTTCCATTCTTTTTCTCCTTTTTTTTTTCGTTCCTGGGAACGAAGGGTTGCTGAGTTTTCTTCCCAAATAGACAAACGTCCTGAAACACCAAGAAAATGGATGGAGCAGAGCTGGTGCAGGTGGACGATTCATCATGGTCTGCTTGGGGGTTTGCTTCTTCCTTTGTGACAATGACGCAGGAAAATCCAACCTTTCTGGGGAAAAAACTGCTTATTTATGGGTGCAAATCCTTGCCAATGTGTCTGCCCCAGCACAGGCTGCTGGGAGAGGTGCCGCCCCGGGAAAAGCCACCTCCACCTCCTCCCATCCAGGAATGGGCAAGGTGATGGCTTCCCTTTCCCTTGGTTCCCTTGGTTCTTTGCCCTTGGCGGTTTGTTTTTTTTTTTAATGACTCTGGACTTTCTGATGTGGATCATCTCTGGATGAAGAATCTGAACTCACAATGATGTGGAAGGTGGAGCCTTAAACTGCACCCTGGAATCGGGCAAAGGTTGGAGATGGTGGGTGCAGCTCCTACACCTCGGGTGAGTGAATTTCCTTTCTGTGAGGAGTTTAGAATATTTAATTAATTTAACGTCTTTGGAAACGAATTAGAATAAATCATGGGGAGGGCAGTGGGGTAGAGCAGGGGATACACTGGGAGCTGCATGTAGATCCTGCCCTGCCCTCCACCAAGGTTTCCTTGTGACATCAAGTGGTTTGGTGGGATTTCTGGAGCCCCGTTGGGGGCAGGTGCAGCCCCTCTTCCCCATCCCCTCCGCGGTGGCTCTAACTCCCCCTTGCCCTCCCTCTGCCTCCCTTCCCACCCTCTTCTCCAGCTCCGGCCACAGATGGGGTTCCTGGCAAGCCCATGGGGCCTCCTCATTCATTTCCTGACTCTGCACCTCCTCCAGCTGGGATCAGGTAGGGATCCTGCAAGGCTGGGGGGGCTGAGCATGTTCTGGGTGGCCAATGTGGGGCAGGGGAGGGGCTGTGGGGCAGGAGGAGCTGAGCATAGAACTTGGCCACTTTCACTTTCCCTTGGTCTCATGATGCCACACGTCCATTGCCCTGGGACATCTTCAGTCCCACCCTGCGGTGCTCCCGCAAAGCTTTTGTCCCTTCTATTGGGGCTGGCTGGGCTGGGGGGTCACAATTTTCTGGAGAAGTTCCTACCCCCAGGAAACCTCCTTCTCCTTTGAGTCCTCCCTCTCCGGTTTCTCCAGTGTCTTTGGGCCATGGGGAGGGCAAATCAATGTCTGCGGGATGCAGAGGGCACCACTGGCACCAAGCTGGCCCTTTGCCTTGCGATCCCCGTAAATTAACGTGGGCACAATCTTCATCTCTCTGTGTCCTTCTCTGTCAACCAGCGGACTTCAGAGTGGTGGGACCAAGGCGACCTCTCCTTGCCACTGTGGGGCAGGACGTCGTTCTGCCCTGTCACTTGTCCCCACGCATGGATGCTCGAAGCTTGGAGATCAGGTGGATCCGGCACAAGCTCTCTGAAACGGTGCACCTCTACCAACACAGAGAGGACCAGTATGGCGAGCAGATGAAGGAATATGCTCGAAGGACAGAGTTGGCCAGAGATGGTCTCTCCAGTGGGATCCTGGACTTGCGAATCTCTGGGTTGAGACCCTCTGATGATGGCCAGTACGTCTGCACTGTGCGAGATGCTGCCTCTTATGGAGATGCTACAGTGGAGCTGGAGGTGGCAGGTTTGTGGCCGCTGTGGTGATTCTTGAGGATTGTCCAGGTGTCCCTGGGTTGTTGTGTCCCTCACAGAGCTCTTTCCTATCCTCACGTCCATCCATTTAGTGGTGAAGGCCAAGAGCTATTGAGAGAAGCTGTGTGCAAGGGTTCTCTTCCCATGTGTGCCTGCCAGGAGGGAGTACCCACGTGGTGCTGGAGGTGTTTTTGGGGGCAGAGCGGAACAGATGCGGTGGCTTTAGGTTTCTGTGGTGTCCTTGTGACTTTGTGTTCATGCAGAGATCCTGCCTTGAGGCACCAAAGTTTGTCCATTGGCTGCCTCTCTGCCAGGCTGTTTTATGGGAGATCTGGGGTCATTTGGCATCAGGGGTCTCTGGTTCCTGCAGACGTTGGGGTGGGTTTGGTGGTGTGAGGAGCACGTACCCAACCCCACAGCCCCCTGGGCACCCTGGGATGTGTCTGGCCTGGGGTTGGGTCTTGGCTTTTGAGCTGGGTCCATCCCTAACTCAGGGCAACCCCGGGCTCTTCCCCCAGCCTTGGGCTCTGTCCCTCTCCTCTCTCTGGAGGCTTACGAGGATGGAGGCATCCGGGTGGTGTGTCGATCAGCCGGCTGGTACCCATCACCGCACGTGCTGTGGAAGGATGGCAGCGGGCAGCATCTCCCCTCGGTCTCCCAGAGACGTTCCCCTGATGAGAGGGGCCTCTTTGAGATCACAGATGTCATCATTGTGAGCGGGAAGGGAGATGGGAAGGTGTCGTGCGTGGTGAGGAACAGCCGCCTGGAGCAGGAGCAAGCGTCATCCCTGCACATCTCAGGTACAGGATGGCAGCAGGGCTGGGGTTGGCTGCGCTGCTTGGGGAGGGTTTGATCTCATGGGACTGGAGAAACATGCAAGGGGAGAGGGAAGGGGACGGGGGTGCACCCACAGGTGAGTTTTATTGCAGGAGATAACATGACCCTGGTGTGCTTCAGGGGAGCTTTGGTGTGTCCATGGGATGGGGAGGAGGATGTTGAGCTCACGGCTCCCAGCATGAGGCTTTAGCAGCTGGTAGTTTGAGGTTGTTTGGGTTTCTTTCTTCTCCTCATACAAGGGAGTGTAAAATGAGGCCTTTTCCCGATGTGTTTTTTTTTGGCCGGGCTGCTTGGGGGGTTTTGATGTCGTGGAGCCAGAGAAACATGTGGGGGGTGAGGGAAAGGGAGAAGGGGTGCACCTGCAGGTGGGTTTTATTGCAGGAGGTAACCTGAGCCTGGGGTGCTTCCGGGGAGCATTGTCTTTGGGATAGGGTGGACGATGTCCCCTTTAGACAAAGGCTCCCAGAACAAGGCTTTAGGAGCTGGAAGTTTGGGGTCGTTTTGGGTTTCCTCACACAGGGGAGTGTAAAATGAGGCCTTTTCCCGGTGTTCTTTTTTTCTCCAGCTCCCTTTTTCCACAATGCCCATCCCTGGATGGCAGCTCTGGTTGTGTTCCTCCTGCTTTCTGTGGTGTCCGCTGCCCTCAGTGCTTACCTCTTCCGAAGGAAAGGTGAGTTTGCATCACGACAGTGTTTTGCTCTCATTTGGGAAACTCTTTGGGCAAAGGCTGGGGACAAGGACATGGGGTGTGGGTTGAAGGGCAGGGAGCATGGGCAGAGCATCTGGCCGGTGGGAAGGTCCAAGAGACCCGGGGGAGATGGTGCCAGGGATGAAGCAGCTTCTCTCCTGACCTCCTCTTCCTCTGCCTTTGCTTTCCAGTGGTGCTGTCCAGAGAGCTGAGTGAGTCCTGTTCCCTGCCACCAGCAAAGCCTCCTGAGGAAAGAGCCCCCTGGGAGGGTCATGGCTTTGAATGGCTCTTGCTTTTTCTCTGGTCATTAATATGTGTTGCTGGAGCCCAGAAGGGGACTGGAGAGCAGTGGGGTTGGGAACTGGGAATGGGAGGTGTCCTGGCTCATGGGAAAAAACGGGGACACCAGCACTGAGTGAGCTTAAATCAGGTTGAGCCTTAAATCTCTGCTTAAGTCAGGCGTAACTGCAGAGTGCCTGGGTGGGCTGGGGTGGGGATAAGAGGGTAGAGAGCCCCCTGTAAGCCAAGGGGACTTTTCCCATTCCCCAAAGAGAAGGAGTTTGGGCTCAAACCAAGCTCTGCCTGCTCGTGTCATGGAGCGAGAAGCTGTTCCCTCTCATCACTTATTGCTTCTGTTGATTTCCTTTCCAGAGGAACGAGAAGCAGAACTGGGTGAGTCTCTGTGATCTCCTCCTGGCTCACGTGTCCTTTCCGCAGCTCTGCTTAGTCCTTGAGCATTTGTGATTAGAAGCTGTCCTCTCTGACCAAATATTCCTTTTGCTTTCCGGTGGAAAAAGCTGCACTGTTGGGTGAGTCTCTGTGAGTTCCTCCTGGCTCGATGTCCTCTGCTGGACCCCCTGAGCTTGACCCTTTCCCCTTGTCCATCCTCTCCATCCCTGCATCGCCTGGGTCCAGGCAAACCCCAAGGCAATGTGCCTGGAGGGGTGGGCATCTATGGGAAGAGAAGCTGTCCTCTGTGATCACTCATTGGTTTGTTTTTTCCTTTACAGGGACGAAAGGTGTAGGACTGGGTGAGTCCCCGTGAGATCCAGCACAACATGGGTCCTTACCAAGAAGCTCTGTGTTGGGTCCCATCCCCCCTTGCCCGTCCCATCCCCCCTTGCCCTTCCCATCCATCCTTGCATCCTGGGAGCCAGGGGCTCTTTTCCCACTCCCCAAACAGAAGGACTCTGGGCCCTGCCTGAGCTCTGCCTGTTCCTGTGGGTGCAGTTGTTGGATGAGAAGCTGTCCTCTGTGATCACTCATGGTTCTGTTTTTACCTTTACAGTGGAACAAGCTGCAGGATTGGGTGAGTCTCCGTGAGCTCCAACAAGACATGGGGTCCATACCAAAGTGATCAAGGCTCGGCCCCTTGCTCGTCCCCTTCATCCCTGCATAGCCATGGTGTGGGCAAACCTTGAGTGGATGTGCCTGGAGGGGCGGGCAACTCAGGGACACCAGAGCAGGGAAGGACCCTCTCCCCTGGTCTTCTTCTATGGATGCCAGTGGTGGGACATGACCATGCTGACAGGGAGCCATGCCTGAGGTTTGCGAGTCTTTTCCCACTCCCCAAACAGGACTCTGGGCCCCATCTGAGCTCTGCCTGTTCCTGTGGGTGCAGTTGTGGGTTGAGAAGCTGTCCTCTGTGATCACTCATTGGTTTGTTCTTCCCTTTACAGTGCAAGATGCTGCAGCACTGTGTGAGTCTCTGTGAGCTCCAGCAGGACGTGGGGTCCATACGAAAGTGCTCAAGGCTTGACCCCTTACCCATCCTCTCCATCCCTGTATAGCCATGGTGTGGGCAAACCTGGCGGGGAGGTGCCTGGAGGGGTGGGCAGCTCAGGGACACCAGAGCAGGGATGGACCTTCTCCCCTGGTCTTCTTCTATGGATATCAGTGGTGGTACATGACCATGCTGACTGGGAGTCATGCCTGAGGTTTGGGGCTCTTTTTGCACGCCCCAAACAGAGGGAGTTTGGGCCCCATCTGAGCTCTGCCTGTTGCTGTGGGTGCAGCTGTGGGATGAGAAGCTGTCCTCTGTGATCACTCATTGGTTTGTTTTTTCCTTTACAGGGACGAAAGGTGTAGGACTGGGTGAGTCCCCGTGAGATCCAGCACAACATGGGTCCTTACCAAGAAGCTCTGTGTTGGGTCCCATCCCCCCTTGCCCGTCCCATCCCCCCTTGCCCTTCCCATCCATCCTTGCATCCTGGGAGCCAGGGGCTCTTTTCCCACTCCCCAAACAGAAGGACTCTGGGCCCTGCCTGAGCTCTGCCTGTTCCTGTGGGTGCAGTTGTTGGATGAGAAGCTGTCCTCTGTGATCACTCATGGTTCTGTTTTTACCTTTACAGTGGAACAAGCTGCAGGATTGGGTGAGTCTCCGTGAGCTCCAACAAGACATGGGGTCCATACCAAAGTGATCAAGGCTCGGCCCCTTGCTCGTCCCCTTCATCCCTGCATAGCCATGGTGTGGGCAAACCTTGAGTGGATGTGCCTGGAGGGGCGGGCAACTCAGGGACACCAGAGCAGGGAAGGACCCTCTCCCCTGGTGCTCCTCCACCAGGTCCAAAAATCACAACCAAGCTCTAAATTAACCTTAACCTTCTCGCAGCCAAATGGACCTAATTTTCCTTCTTCCCCTTTTTCACTTTTTTTCTGCTCCTTAATGTTTTCAAGCACTGGGGGTGGAGTTTGAAGGTAGCCCCAAAACCCCCAACGTGTGCATCCGGAAAGCGAGGGGAAGTGTGAAACCCTGTGTATATCCTGTTGTCTGCTTCCTCCTGCAGCTTGTATGGGTCCGGTGAGTGAATTTCCTTTCTGTAAGAAATGTACAATATTTAATATCACTTAAAATCTTGTAAGGGACATAGAGTAAATCCTGGGGAGGGCAGTGGGGCAGAGCAGGGGCAGCACCAGGAGCCATGTGGGGATCCTGTCCTGCCCTTGACCAAGGGTTCATTCAGACGTCAGGGTGCAGGTGGCATGGTGGGATTTCTGGAGTGGTGTTGGGGGCATGTGCAGCCCTTCCTAACCATCCCCTCAGCGGCGGCTGTAACCCCCCTTGTCCTTCCCACCTTCTTCTCCAGCTCTGGCCACAGATGGGGTTCCCCGCGAGCCCATGGGGCCTCCTCAGCCCTTCTTCCCCATCCCCTCTGTGGCGGCTGTAACCTCCCCCTTGCCCTCCCTCTGCCTCCCTTCCCACCCTCTTCTCCAGCTCCGGCCACAGATGGGGTTCCTGGCAAGCCCATGGGGCCTCCTCATTCATTTCCTGACTCTGCACCTCCTCCAGCTGGGATCAGGTAGGGATCCTGCAAGGCTGGGGGGGCTGAGCATGTTCTGGGTGGCCAATGTGGGGCAGGGGAGGTGCTGTGGGGCAGGAGGAGCTGAGCATAGAACTTGGCCACTTTCACTTTCCCTTGGTCTCATGATGCCACACGTCCATTGCCCTGGGACATCTTCAGTCCCACCCTGCGGTGCTCCCGCAAAGCTTTTGTCCCTTCTATTGGGGCTGGCTGGGCTGGGGGGTCACAATTTTCTGGAGAAGTTCCTACCCCCAGGAAACCTCCTTCTCCTTTGAGTCCTCCCTCTCCGGTTTCTCCAGTGTCTTTGGGCCATGGGGAGGGCAAATCAATGTCTGCGGGATGCAGAGGGCACCACTGGCACCAAGCTGGCCCTTTGCCTTGCGATCCCCGTAAATTAACGTGGGCACAATCTTCATCTCTCTGTGTCCTTCTCCGTCAACCAGCGGACTTCAGAGTGGTGGGACCAAGGCGACCTCTCCTTGCCACTGTGGGGCAGGACGTCGTTCTGCCCTGTCACTTGTCCCCACGCATGGATGCTCGAAGCTTGGAGATCAGGTGGATCCGGCACAAGCTCTCTGAAACGGTGCACCTCTACCAACACAGAGAGGACCAGTATGGCGAGCAGATGAAGGAATATGCTCGAAGGACAGAGTTGGCCAGAGATGGTCTCTCCAGTGGGATCCTGGACTTGCGAATCTCTGGGTTGAGACCCTCTGATGATGGCCAGTACGTCTGCACTGTGCGAGATGCTGCCTCTTATGGAGATGCTACAGTGGAGCTGGAGGTGGCAGGTTTGTGGCCGCTGTGGTGATTCTTGAGGATTGTCCAGGTGTCCCTGGGTTGTTGTGTCCCTCACAGAGCTCTTTCCTATCCTCACGTCCATCCATTTAGTGGTGAAGGCCAAGAGCTATTGAGAGAAGCTGTGTGCAAGGGTTCTCTTCCCATGTGTGCCTGCCAGGAGGGAGTACCCACGTGGTGCTGGAGGTGTTTTTGGGGGCAGAGCGGAACAGATGCGGTGGCTTTAGGTTTCTGTGGTGTCCTTGTGACTTTGTGTTCATGCAGAGATCCTGCCTTGAGGCACCAAAGTTTGTCCATTGGCTGCCTCTCTGCCAGGCTGTTTTATGGGAGATCTGGGGTCATTTGGCATCAGGGGTCTCTGGTTCCTGCAGACGTTGGGGTGGGTTTGGTGGTGTGAGGAGCACGTACCCAACCCCACAGCCCCCTGGGCACCCTGGGATGTGTCTGGCCTGGGGTTGGGTCTTGGCTTTTGAGCTGGGTCCATCCCTAACTCAGGGCAACCCCGGGCTCTTCCCCCAGCCTTGGGCTCTGTCCCTCTCCTCTCTCTGGAGGCTTACGAGGATGGAGGCATCCGGGTGGTGTGTCGATCAGCCGGCTGGTACCCATCACCGCACGTGCTGTGGAAGGATGGCAGCGGGCAGCATCTCCCCTCGGTCTCCCAGAGACGTTCCCCTGATGAGAGGGGCCTCTTTGAGATCACAGATGTCATCATTGTGAGCGGGAAGGGAGATGGGAAGGTGTCGTGCGTGGTGAGGAACAGCCGCCTGGAGCAGGAGCAAGCGTCATCCCTGCACATCTCAGGTACAGGATGGCAGCAGGGCTGGGGTTGGCTGCGCTGCTTGGGGAGGGTTTGATCTCATGGGACTGGAGAAACATGCAAGGGGAGAGGGAAGGGGACGGGGGTGCACCCACAGGTGAGTTTTATTGCAGGAGATAACATGACCCTGGTGTGCTTCAGGGGAGCTTTGGTGTGTCCATGGGATGGGGAGGAGGATGTTGAGCTCACGGCTCCCAGCATGAGGCTTTAGCAGCTGGTAGTTTGAGGTTGTTTGGGTTTCTTTCTTCTCCTCATACAAGGGAGTGTAAAATGAGGCCTTTTCCCGATGTGTTTTTTTTTGGCCGGGCTGCTTGGGGGGTTTTGATGTCGTGGAGCCAGAGAAACATGTGGGGGGTGAGGGAAAGGGAGAAGGGGTGCACCTGCAGGTGGGTTTTATTGCAGGAGGTAACCTGAGCCTGGGGTGCTTCCGGGGAGCATTGTCTTTGGGATAGGGTGGACGATGTCCCCTTTAGACAAAGGCTCCCAGAACAAGGCTTTAGGAGCTGGAAGTTTGGGGTCGTTTTGGGTTTCCTCACACAGGGGAGTGTAAAATGAGGCCTTTTCCCGGTGTTCTTTTTTTCTCCAGCTCCCTTTTTCCACAATGCCCATCCCTGGATGGCAGCTCTGGTTGTGTTCCTCCTGCTTTCTGTGGTGTCAACTGCCCTCAGTGCTTACCTCTTCCGAAGGAAAGGTGAGTTTGCATCACGACAGTGTTTTGCTCTCATTTGGGAAACTCTTTGGGCAAAGGCTGGGGACAAGGACATGGGGTGTGGGTTGAAGGGCAGGGAGCATGGGCAGAGCATCTGGCCGGTGGGAAGGTCCAAGAGACCCGGGGGAGATGGTGCCAGGGATGAAGCAGCTTCTCTCCTGACCTCCTCTTCCTCTGCCTTTGCTTTCCAGTGGTGCTGTCCAGAGAGCTGAGTGAGTCCTGTTCCCTGCCACCAGCAAAGCCTCCTGAGGAAAGAGCCCCCTGGGAGGGTCATGGCTTTGAATGGCTCTTGCTTTTTCTCTGGTCATTAATATGTGTTGCTGGAGCCCAGAAGGGGACTGGAGAGCAGTGGGGTTGGGAACTGGGAATGGGAGGTGTCCTGGCTCATGGGAAAAAACGGGGACACCAGCACTGAGTGAGCTTAAATCAGGTTGAGCCTTAAATCTCTGCTTAAGTCAGGCGTAACTGCAGAGTGCCTGGGTGGGCTGGGGTGGGGATAAGAGGGTAGAGAGCCCCCTGTAAGCCAAGGGGACTTTTCCCATTCCCCAAAGAGAAGGAGTTTGGGCTCAAACCAAGCTCTGCCTGCTCGTGTCATGGAGCGAGAAGCTGTTCCCTCTCATCACTTATTGCTTCTGTTGATTTCCTTTCCAGAGGAACGAGAAGCAGAACTGGGTGAGTCTCTGTGATCTCCTCCTGGCTCACGTGTCCTTTCCGCAGCTCTGCTTAGTCCTTGAGCATTTGTGATTAGAAGCTGTCCTCTCTGACCAAATATTCCTTTTGCTTTCCGGTGGAAAAAGCTGCACTGTTGGGTGAGTCTCTGTGAGTTCCTCCTGGCTCGATGTCCTCTGCTGGACCCCCTGAGCTTGACCCTTTCCCCTTGTCCATCCTCTCCATCCCTGCATCGCCTGGGTCCAGGCAAACCCCAAGGCAATGTGCCTGGAGGGGTGGGCATCTATGGGAAGAGAAGCTGTCCTCTGTGATCACTCATTGGTTTGTTTTTTCCTTTACAGGGACGAAAGGTGTAGGACTGGGTGAGTCCCCGTGAGATCCAGCACAACATGGGTCCTTACCAAGAAGCTCTGTGTTGGGTCCCATCCCCCCTTGCCCGTCCCATCCCCCCTTGCCCTTCCCATCCATCCTTGCATCCTGGGAGCCAGGGGCTCTTTTCCCACTCCCCAAACAGAAGGACTCTGGGCCCTGCCTGAGCTCTGCCTGTTCCTGTGGGTGCAGTTGTTGGATGAGAAGCTGTCCTCTGTGATCACTCATGGTTCTGTTTTTACCTTTACAGTGGAACAAGCTGCAGGATTGGGTGAGTCTCCGTGAGCTCCAACAAGACATGGGGTCCATACCAAAGTGATCAAGGCTCGGCCCCTTGCTCGTCCCCTTCATCCCTGCATAGCCATGGTGTGGGCAAACCTTGAGTGGATGTGCCTGGAGGGGCGGGCAACTCAGGGACACCAGAGCAGGGAAGGACCCTCTCCCCTGGTCTTCTTCTATGGATGCCAGTGGTGGGACATGACCATGCTGACAGGGAGCCATGCCTGAGGTTTGCGAGTCTTTTCCCACTCCCCAAACAGGACTCTGGGCCCCATCTGAGCTCTGCCTGTTCCTGTGGGTGCAGTTGTGGGTTGAGAAGCTGTCCTCTGTGATCACTCATTGGTTTGTTCTTCCCTTTACAGTGCAAGATGCTGCAGCACTGTGTGAGTCTCTGTGAGCTCCAGCAGGACGTGGGGTCCATACGAAAGTGCTCAAGGCTTGACCCCTTACCCATCCTCTCCATCCCTGTATAGCCATGGTGTGGGCAAACCTGGCGGGGAGGTGCCTGGAGGGGTGGGCAGCTCAGGGACACCAGAGCAGGGATGGACCTTCTCCCCTGGTCTTCTTCTATGGATATCAGTGGTGGTACATGACCATGCTGACTGGGAGTCATGCCTGAGGTTTGGGGCTCTTTTTGCACGCCCCAAACAGAGGGAGTTTGGGCCCCATCTGAGCTCTGCCTGTTGCTGTGGGTGCAGCTGTGGGATGAGAAGCTGTCCTCTGTGATCACTCATTGGTTTGTTTTTTCCTTTACAGGGACGAAAGGTGTAGGACTGGGTGAGTCCCCGTGAGATCCAGCACAACGTGGGTCCTTACCAAGAAGCTCTGTGTTGGGCCCCATCCCCCCTTGCCCTTCCCATCCATCCTTGCATCCTGGGAGCCAGGGGCTCTTTTCCCACTCCCCAAACAGAAGGACTCTGGGCCCTGCCTGAGCTCTGCCTGTTCCTGTGGGTGCAGCTGTGGGATGAGAAGCTGTCTTCTGTGATCACTCATTGGTTTGTTTTTACCTTTACAGTGGAACAAGCTGCAGGATTGGGTGAGTCTCCGTGAGCTCCAACAGGACGTGGGGTCCTTCTAAAAGTGCTCAAGGCTCGGCCCCTTGCTCGTCCCCTTCACCCCTGCATAGCCATGGTGTGGGCAAATCTTGCGGGGATGTGCCTGGGGAGGGTTGTCAACTCAGGGACACCAGAGCAGGGAAGGACCCTCTCCCCTGGTCTTCTTCTATGGATGCCAGTGGTGGGACATGACCATGCCTGAGGTTTGCGAGTCTTTTCCCACACCCCAAACAGAAGGACTCTGGGCCCTGCCTGAGCTCTGCCTGTTCCTGTCGGTGCAGCTGTGAGAAGAGAGTCCTCTGTGATCACTCATTGGTTTGTTTTTTCGTTTACAGTAAAGTAATTAAAGCTCCAGCACTGGGTGAGTCTCCATGAGGTCCAGCAAGATGTGTGGTCCTTACCAAAGTGCTCTGTGCTTGGCCCCTTACCCATCCTCTCCATCCCTGCATCCCCTGGTTCCATGGAAACCCCAAGGGGATGTGCTTGGGGGGTGGGCAACTTGGGGACACCAGACCAGAGCTGTCCCCTCACCCCTGCACAAATTCTCTGGGGAGATGTGGCCAGGCTGAAGGGAGCTTTCCCTGAGAGTGAGTGGGTCAGTTCACACTCCCCAAACAGAAGGAATTTGGGATCTTCCCAGCCCTGTGATTGCAGGCATGTAATGAGATGTTTTTTCTGATCACCAATTACTTATGTTTTTCCTTTTCAAGAAAACAAGCTGCAGCACTGGATGAGTCTCCGTGAACTCCTCTTAGATTGATGTTCCCTGCCCGGCAATCTGTGCTTGGCCTTTTTCCCCCTTGCCCATCATCTCTATCCCTGTGTCTCTGGGTCCAGGCGGAAGAGGAGAGCGGTTGTGGGTGTCCAGGGTGGTGGTATCGCAAGTGGCGGATTCGTAATCGTGGTTGTATATTCCTCTGTCACTGTTATTGTTGTTGTTTCTTGCTCCCTTTGCTCAAGTTCTGTTAAATTGCCTTTGTCTCAACCCACGAGTTTTGCCTTTTTCTTCCGATTTTCCCCTCCTGGACGCGGTGGTGGTGGGGGCTCTGGTT